ATGCTGATGATATTGTCTTACTGTGCGAGAATGTTCAAGCCATGCGATCCGCACTTAATCAGTTGGCAATCAGTGTCCGTAGGTATGGTATGTGCTTTGCACCTTCGAAGTGCAAAGTACTTCTACAAGACTGGCAGGATTCTAATCCTGTACTCACTCTGGATGGTGAGCAGATTGAAGTAGTCGAGAAGTTCGTGTATCTATGTAGCTGCATAAGTGCTGGTGGTGGCGTGAGTGATGAGATCAATTCACGTATAGTGAAAGCCAGAGCGGCTTATGCCAATCTGGGCCATCATTGGCGCCTTCGTGATGTCAATCTCGCTGTAAAAGGTCGGATCTACAACGCGTCGGTGAGAGCAGTTTTGCTCTATGCTTGTGAAACCTGACCTCTCCGAGTTGAGGATGTTAGACGTCTCTCTGTGTTCGATCATCGCTTTCTCCGAAGGATTGCTGACATCCAGTGGCAACACCATGTTAGTAATGCAGAGGTTCGGCATCATGTATTCGGGCACAGAGACGATAATCCAATTGGTGTCACCATCTTGAAACACCGACTTCGGTGGCTTGGACATGTTCTACGAATGCTGTCTCAAAGAATTCCACGTCGTGCATTGTTCGCCGACGCTGGGACTGGTTGGAAAAAGCAACACATTGGCTAGAGACGATATCAGATATGGCTCAGAATATAATCCAGTGGCCATCCTGCTGTAACCTTTTTTTACTTTCTTCGTAAAAAGTGGTTGTAACTTCCTTAACTGAAAGAATTCTTCTGGTTGCGCCTTCCCGTTTCCCCCATTATTATTACACTGCCACACACTAATCTGCGGTCGTTGTTTTTTTCTTATATGCACCTTACATTCTTTTTTTTCTCCCCATTCTCAATGTTTTGTGTGGTGCATATATATGTGATAACCCCCTTGTACCAATATTTATTTGTTCAAATAAATTATTTAATTAAGTAATTTTAACCTCACTGTATAAGGGAAGACAACAGTGTATACATCTACACCAATGTGATTGATTTTGAGCCATGTCATCCAGTTTCCAACCAGTGGTTGTGATCGTCACACGGACCCCAACCACGTGAAGTGCATCTACTAACATAACCCAGACTGGAAGTTAGTGACTTGAAGCACTGATGCCACGTCTGACTTCGGCCGCCCTTAACTTTCTTCCAACCGTCTACAACACTAGTCAACATTGTGCGTCGTGGTAATCGGTGTTTGGGCATGCGTGATACGTGGCCCAATCATCTCAGTCGATGTAGGTTCGCAACCTCATCAATTGATTCACCATCATTCCTTAATGCCCTGTGTCTAAACTCACAACTACTTACCCGGTGATCCCAGCAGATGCGAGCGATATTGCTAAGACATATGTGGTCAAATACTAATAACTTACAAGTGTCCTTTATTCTCAATGGCTACGTTTAGCAGCCGCAAAGTAGAACATACCGAACTGCTACGCAGTATGCTCGTCCCATAATTGATCAGTCAGTCAGATGCAACGTAGGACCAGGCACATATATGCATCGGTTCAAGTTGCCATACCGCATTATTTATTTATTTATTTTAACACATAAGTATAGGTACAGGGAGGCACCAAATACATATGCGCCACACAAATCTCAATTGATTTGTGTGAGGGCTGTGATACTGCTCGGGTGCCCAAACCGAAACAGGTGGTTTTCTTAGGGGGCCACACCCCGAGCCTTTGACCTGAAGATCTGATCCACAAGGCAGTGGAGCATCGTAAGGAGATGCAGTCCCATGGTAGCCGGTGACCAACGATTGGTTCATACGCCATTTGTTCCCTCAGGATACTGGAGCCCATGTGCACCATTGGTTTGGGGTCCGGTTAAAGCGCCAGACATTCGCTTTTCGTCCTCTCATTTTTGTAAACAACACCCCCGCCACGAGAAGGCAGTGAGTAGGACTTCCCTGGCAGAGGCTATATACGCATGGCCATGTGAGAGCATTTCGAGAGGGAGAGCGGACTTTCCCCACTCTCGACCGTACCAGGGCATTTGAGGGCATACCGCATTAGCACAACAAAATGAACACCGGATTCATAAAAGTGGTTAATTCAGTGGTGGTAATATATAGAAGAAAGAATGCATATAAGGAGATAGTACAGGAAGAAAGAATTAGTTCGTAGAAAGAAAGATATGAAGTGATTTTAATCTCTTAGTTTGAAGGAAGACAGAGAGTGTATACACCTACTCCATTGTGATCGATTCTGAGCCATGTCACCAAGAGTCTCCAACCATTGGTTACGATAGTCACGCCGACCCCAACTAAGTAGTCTGCATCTACCAACATGACTCAGACCAGAAGTTAGTGACTTCAAGCACTGATGCCACGTTTTGGTTTGGCCGCCCCTAACTTTCTTCCAATCATCCCTAACACCGGTTAGCATTGCGCGTCGTGGTAATCGGTGTTCAAGCATACGCATCACGTGGCCCAACCATCTCAGTCGATGAAGATTCATAACCTCATCAACTGATTTACCATCATTCCCTAATACCCTGCGTCTAACCTCACTATTACTTACCCGATGATCCCAGCAGATGCGAGCAATATTTCTAAGGCATCTGTGGTCAAATACTTGTAGCTTACGAGTATCCACTACTCTTAGTGGCCACGTTTCGCAACCGTATAATAGAACGGAACGAACTGCTGCGCAGTATACTCGTCCCTTAATTGATAGACGGATATCTCGCCTTTGCCATAGATGACGTAAGTTGGCGAAAGCCAAACGAGCTTTTCCAATCCGTGCTGGGATTTCATCAAACACCAACCCCCCAGCCCCCGAATACCCTGGTATGGCCGAGAGTGGGGAGGGTCCTCCCTCTCAAAATGCTCTCCCATGGCCACATGTATACAGCCTCTGACAGGGAAGTCCTGTTCACTGCCTTCTCGTTGTGGGGGTGTTATTCACGAAAGTGAGAGGACGAAAAGCGAATGCCCAGCGCTTTAACCGGGTCACAAACCAATGGTGCACATGGGCTCCAGTATCCCGAAGGAAAAAATGGCGTATGAACCAATCGTTGGTCACCAGCTACCATGGGATTGCATCTCCTCACGATGCTCCACTGCCTTGTGGATCTTGCCTACAGGTCGAAGGCTCGGGGTGTGGCCCCCTAAGAAAACCACCTGCTTCGGTTTGGGCTCCCGGGCAGTATCATAGCCCTCACACACACGCGCCAATGTATTCGGTGCCCTTTTGTACCAATATTTGTGTGTTCAAATAAATAAATATATGCGTATTAAAGGTCGATACGTGGACCTCCTGGTAGCAGATCAATTCCTGAAAATCCAGACGACGAGAACACCATTTCCAGCAGCAAATCTATGATGAAATTGAGCAAAAATGGAGACAGTGGACAGCCTCGTCGGACACCACATGAAGTTGCGAAATCGGACGACAGTTCGCCATAAGCTCTGACTTGACTGATAATGTTCGAGTAAAGAGCCTTCACAAGGTTTATGTACTTCTGAGGTAGGTCCTTCAATGACAGACTCTTCCACAGAACCTCTCGATCTAAACAATCAAATGCTGCTCTCAAATCAAAAGAAAATATGACGATATCAAGATATGGAGAGCTAAAAACAGTGATGATAGTTCAGAGCCATCAAATGACCTGTAAAAATTATCTGAATGGTCCGAACGATCCATTGTGATACATAGTGGTTGCCAAGGCACAGATATACGGTGAATAACATTGAGCTGCCTGTTGTCCGGACACAATAATCTAATCAATACTTGAATACTGCACACCACGGTGCGATAGCAGCCAAAGTTTCTAGAATCTTCTGGTCAATACGTAGAGTCTTCCGTCATGTAGACGCTAAGGCTTTTCTGATTTAGTAGTGCTTGTTTATCGTGAACTCGAGTATGGAGTAAAATCAGACAACCCAGGCCTAAAAGAAGACAGTAAGCTGTTGAGAAAGGTTCAAAGAACCAAGATTAAGTTGATTCGTGGGATCACAAAGCTGTCGTATGACGAGACTGATTAGACTATGCTTGTTTCCCATGTCATGTGAAAGGTTCAGATATGACTTGACCACACTATCTAGATTACTTAAGGACAAATTTATATTTGATACTCTCACCTGTTAGTCTTCCAAAACAGAATTTGTGAGGACACTATGAAAACGTCTATGAGCCCTAAACAAATCAAGGCGAAACTGTAATGTATGAACGAAACAATCAGATTTACGACAACAGGTCGAGTTTGGGAGGGGAATCAAATCATTCATTTAGCTAAAAATGACTTTTGACATTATAGCTGATGTCAGTTCGTGATGAAAACCATACATTTAATTCCTAGACCTATCAACTGTAAATATTAATCCTGATTACTTACACTGGTTTCTAACTCCCATTTAGCCGTAGTATGTACGTGGACATTCTCAAGGTCTTTTTAGCGTCGCTCAAATGTCGTCCATAAATTAGTCTCACTCAAATCAATTATCGGTTGAGTATCGAATTTCTCATCGAATCATCGGCGACCGGAAATCCCTACGGTAACACGTGATTGAAGCTCCACTATTAATACGTTTAACAAAATTGAATCAACTGAGAAACCACCACTACCGAGACTAATACAGGCACTCGGCCTCCTGTCCATCCAAAATGAAACAAACTGCAGATTGAATGTGAATAACCGATAGGTAAATATGACAGCGTACAGTACGCTATACTTCTCCTTAGAAAAAACGTTGCAGACTTGTGTTGGACAAGAAACAGCATTACTACTTAAAGATAAAGGAAACTTCTGAAGAATCCGCCGTACAATGTGTCCAAAGCTCGATTAACTTATTTCAGATCAAGGGATAGAGATTTACGGTTGCATATACATGAAACAGATATTTCAGGTCTTTAGGTACTGAACCATATACATGCTAGCTCACTAACATGGGTAGAACAGTCCTATAGAAGAACTATTGTGAATGCTTTTTTACAAGGAACACCGCTGAGAAATCTTTTGAACTTACTTCCGCTTTTTTTCTTCGAAGTCACCAGGTTGTGTAGAATCGGTGTCTACAGGAGTCTCAGAAGACGGTTTCTTAGGATCGAAAGCTGACGTCAATTCATCTAAATCTAAGCCAAAAGCAGACATGATATTCAAAGTCCCTCCTTCATAAGACCTTTGACACTCAACATCCAATATTTAAAACGATTGAGGTTTCGAGCTCGCTTAGTGCCATTTTTATATAGTTTCAGTACTTTGATTATGTTCGATAGATGATATCTTAGCCACTTGACTACTCCATTTTTATCATTTTGGTCGTTATTTGTGGTTTTTTAGACCTAGTAATCTGAGTTTTTTTTATCCCAGAACAATGGGGTTTCTGGAATGCGTGGTTATCACATTACCGAAGTGGAAGTTGGTTAGTCGCAATGTGAAAATAAGAGTAATAAAAGTTACATGTTAAAGATGATTGTTTCAGGAGTTAAATAAACAGTTAATTGAGGTAATTAGTAATAAAAATGGTGTGAATAGTCTGGGGTGTAAGAATTAAAAGGGCAACATAGATAACAATAATAATAAGTGAAGTAGAAATATGATATGTGATAATTACAATGGCACATAAGTTACGAGATCTGTATTAAGGACTACTACTTCAAGGTGGATGCGGTAGTCCGTGGGTCGTTATCATGTGAACATATGAATCTATCCACTAGCGGAGCATAAATCACTTCGACTGAGAAAGCATTCAAACTATGGGCAACTCTTAATGAGAGACGTTGGAGTGTATCTGAGGTTTTACTCACCGATACACAACTTTCTTAGAGTTGCCTTACTGAGGGTGTTGAGAGTTTCTGATCGAATTTACATGTTGGCGTAACTTGGTGAACTTAGCATGTCATGTGCCACTATGAGGTCACCGCTTGGTCTCTGGTGGCCCAACGAAAAGAGCCTTTGGGGTTATTATTTATCTCCGTATTATTTATTACGTAGCCCTCTCACTCACTTTTTGCAAGGACTTGTACTTGGTCTGAGAGGTTTTTTTCAAGAGAATAGGTGCAATAAAGTTGTGAACCTCGAGGTTTGGTTTCAGATATCATAAATATGTCTGTAGTGGTTCTGTCAAGCTGTCTTCAAGTAAATTGAGGAGTTCTATTGTTTTGGCTGCATTCCAAATGCAGTTTGAGCTGGTGTACAAACTCTCTCTGGACACAAACAACAATTGCGCTATGAGTAGACAGCTGGAAAGAGGTTATCGTATGGAACTTACGTTTTATATGTCCTGTGTGACTAATTGTTCTTCTCGTAATATCGCCTACATTTCCAGTCAGGCAAGTATATTTGACTGATTCGGTGTGTTGCTTATGAGCCAAGATACGAACTGATATTCAGAGATCGAATATCGATGGCCACAACTGTAAGAATTTGTTCAAGCCTCATATGTGATAAGAGTATTATTAGCAGATGTATCCATTCTTTCTGAGTATTATCCAGTGTTGTTGGATGGTACAACACCAACAAGATTTTGTATCTCGACCAGTTTATATTTTAGTGGTATTTGAACATAATATTATCTCGACACATTGCTTTCTATCTGCGTTCATTGTCACGTCATAATGAATTGATGCTTTATATGTTCTCTCTATAACTCCACCTGTAGCTCTTCTAGGGATACTGCTGACCCAGAGGGTTGGGTAAAAGAGTCGACAAATACATCCTGTAAAAAACAGTCTTACTAACAAATTGCCAAACAGATCAAACAAATTAAAATATTTAAGCTCTGTCCTCCGAGTTGAATGAAGAATTATGACGTCTCATGATGAAAACCGAGATACTTCGAGAGTTACATGGCTGATGTCCCTTCTAATAACCAGAGCTACAATTTTTATAGGTAAATGGTACATCCACACAATGTGGGAGACCGGAAGGACCAGTCAAATAGCAACGGAAATGAGGAGATACAACTTGACAGTACTCAGAATCAGTGAAACCCAAGCTGGACAGAAAAGATTAAATACAGTAAAGATGCAGCTGCACTCTGCTCACGAAGAGGAAAATGCTTCACACACTCAGAGAGTTGCTCTGATGCTGTTCAAAGAAGCATGTATTGCACTTAAAGGATGTGAATCTCACGAATCCAGGATCATCAATGCATCCTTCAAAACAAAGCTGAAGGGAATCACGAGAATGTTGTGCACCCAAAAATGATAGCAACGATGATAATAAGGATCAGTACTATGAGAGAATGTAATCATTCATAGCGAAGTGCCCAAGAAAAGATCTCACGATCCTAATGGGAGACCTAAACGCCAAAGTCGGAATGGACTACAGCAAATATGAAGATATCATGGGATGACATGGATTGGGAGAGAGAAAAGAAAATGAAAAAAGATTTGCAAACCTATGTGCACTCAACAAATCGGATATAGGTGGCACAAAGTTCCCACACTAACGCATACACAGAGCTACATGAGTCTCACAGGAGAACCAGATAGATCATATTTGTATCATTGAAAAATTCAGAAAGACAATGGAAGACGTGAGAACCAGGAGAGAAACTGACATAGATTCAGATCACCACTTGGTTGTGGCTAAGATGAAACTGAAGCGAAAAAAGCATTGGATAGCTAGGGAAACAGTAGTACAAAGGTTCAATACAGCCTCCCTACGAGAAACTTACAAACACAACCAATTCAAAATAACTCTCAACAACAGGTTCTAAGCCTTGCAAGATCTATTGAGAGAAGAAGAAACTACGATGGAGGACAACTGGAAAGGGATCAAAGAAGCATTAACTTCAACGTGCCAGGACGTGCCGGGCCGCAAGAAGCACCATCATAAGAAACGGATCTCTTTGGAAACCCTGGACAAGATTCAAGAAAGGACGTACAGGAAGACATCAATTAACAGACGATCAAGAACCGAGAAAGTCAAGGTACAAGCTGAATACACAGAGGCAAACAAGCAATTGAAGAGGAGCATTAAAGCAGACAGGCAGAAATACGTGGAAAAAGATGCAAGAGAAGGAAATATGAAACGACGAATAAACTAGCGGGGAAGCATAGTAAACCCGAGAGACCGGTCAAGGACAAAGAAGGCAAGACAATCACCGACATTCAAGAACAGAGGAAAAAATGGATAGAATACTTCCAGGAACTCTTGAATAGACCAGCTCCATTGAATCTACCGGACATCGAAGCAGCACATACAGACCTTCCTATAGATGTCACTCCACCAACGACTGAAGAAATCAGGATGGTCATCAGAAAATTCAAGGACGGGAAAGCAGCAGGACCTGACATTATACTACCTGAAGCTCTGAAGTCAGATATAGAAGTAACTGCAAGTATGCTTCACGCTTTATTCAGGAAAATTTGAGAGGAAGAATAAGTGCCGACAGGCTGGAAAGAACGCCTCATTAAAATACCAAAGAAAGGAGATCTGAGCAAATATGAGAACCACAGAAGCATCACATTACTGTCAGTACCAGGAAAGGTTGTCAATAGTGTTGCTGAACCAGATGAAAGACGCAATAGATACCCAACTTCGAGCTCAACAGGCTGGATTCCGTAAGGACCGGTCGTGCACAGACCGAATCGCGACACTACGGATCATCGTTGAACAATCAATCGAATGGAACTCGTCACTACACATCAACTTCCTTGAATATGAGAAAGCATTGAACAGTGTGGATAGGAGAACATTATGGAAACTTCTTCGACACCATGGAGTACCTAAGATGATCTACCGGGAAACATCATCCGGATTTCATACGGTGAACTACAGTGCAAAGTCGTGCATGGAGGACAGACGTTTTCAAGTGAGGACTGGAGTCAAACAAGTGTGCTTACTCTTTCCCTTCCTCCTTCTCCCGGTGATCGACTGGATTATGAAGACCTAGACACCTGAGAGTAAACACGGAATACAATGGATATCTCGCAATCAATCAGAGTGTATAAACTTCGCAGATGAGCTGGCGCTTCCAGCCTGCCTCAGCATCAATAGGCCTGAATATTCACAAGAGAAAAAGCAAGATACTCAAAGGCGACAAGTGATGTACTTGCTTGCACAGAGTCGTTAATAAACTGCTTTAAATTTTTTCCGTTTAAAATGAACACATTGTTGCTGTGAACTCGCTAAATCTTTGAGATTTATCTTAATTTTCACGAACTAATCTGTGACACAGTTTTAGATCTACTAGCATCTCCTTGTTTTGTCAGCTGAAAGAAGCTCATAAGACGACTGTTAGAGTTTTTTTTTAAATACTAAAGATGGTGACTCAAAAACTTTATTGAGAGACTTGTGCAAAACATTCCTCATCTTGAGGAATTTCAAGGCTACTCCAGATACCGAGTAATACACTTTTCAAACCAGAAGTTAGGCGACAATTAAATAATCATATGTATGAGCCTATCAGAATAGCCATTACTGATTCATTCACAGAATATGGAATTTCCCAGATGTAGATAGCTTACTTTTACGAAAAAGTATGCCAGTTTATATATCTACTGCGTTCAAAAGTTTCGTGACACTTGAGTTATGTCACGAAGCCATCTTTAAAGGTCTTTCATTCCTGGAAAAACATTTCACATGATGCTCCTTAAAAATCCTAGGTTGTGATAATAGTAGCAGTAACAGTTACAATGGCCAGTTTCCCAGAATGATAGTGTTGTCGGAAAAACGAATTTGAATATATATCAATCGAGTTCTAGTTCTGTGTACTTCTAAACTGAATGCGAACAGTGTAAGCAAGGATGGATAGTAGCTAACAGTGGAATCCAGGACGCATGTATTGTCCTGTTCGTGACGCGTCAGCCAGATGTACCTGCATTCTAGAATTGTTCACTCCGCGACTCGAGCCCGGTTCCATTCGCTTTGAACGCCATCGCGTTATCCACTTAACTAGTCCAGATAGCCACTTTGCTTACGATGCTTTTGACCTAAGGCAATATTGAGGCCGTACGAGCAACATGCATATGTGCCTATAAGGGACTGATCGATTGCAGTCCTAAACATCAATGAAAAGTTGTAAACAAATAATGCGAATCGAATTAAAATCTAAGCCCATATCTCGAGTTAGCGTCTATCTGGATCCGGTAGCAAAGTGGATAATACGATGGCGTTCCAAGTGAACTGTACTGGGTTCGAGT